GGTGCGGGAAAAAAAAAAAAAGAAAAAGAAGTCTAGGGTGGGTGAGAGGTGAGGGAGGACGAGGCTGGGAACCCCTGAAGAAACTCAAAATGGCTTGGGTCCTTTCCTAGAATATAATAATTCATCACTTTCCCACCACCACCATCCACCGATAAGAAACTCGACGACCACCTCACCTGACCCCCGTCCTTTTCTTATTTCTATCATTCCTCCCTCCCTCCCTCGGGGTGGCACAGTAGAAAGCCCCGACCAAAAAAATCCATTCAGGACGCTAGGGTATGAGGGGGCCAAGAAGTCGGGATAGACTTTTGCGAATCGCTTTCCTTCGAGTCTTGGTCTTCTTGTTTAGAGATGCTTGGTTCAAATGCTTGTATTCTATTCTTGATTCTGAGCCAAAGTGGTGTGGGAAAAAGGAATAACAGTACAAGAATATACTTTCACTTTCTACATTCTGTTCATGTCTCATTCACCCCTCTCGTGTGCCAGGACTCCTCGGTCGTCTTTTACACCCATCCCCTCGGCGTCTGCCCCCACGCATAGCACGCCGCAGGGGCGCTCGGCGTGGGCGGAAACGGGCTCCCCTCACGTGCCGCTGCGGTGTGCTCTGGCCTCACGATCTGGCTCTTCACCCTTGGTGCGTCGTTGATGGAGGCTGATCTCTCCCCAGCCCTTCCCACTCCCGCGGAGCTTTGCTCCATCACCAGCGCCGCTTGGAGGTCGTAGCGGGTAGCGTGCGATGATGTCTGAGAGGTCGGGGCGTTCTCGAATGGGTTTGGTGATTGCTCTGCGGCCAGATGCTCCATGTTCTGCACCTGCACGCTGTATCTCTTGCCGGCCCTGGTTGGCTTTGGAGCAGCGATCTCGGTAGGGTGATTTTCGGACGCATTGTCGACACTAGAACCGCCACTGTGCAGCCTGGGAAAACGTGCATTTTTCTTGGTCTGCAGAGACCGGATCGGACGGATTGATGCCACTGGTGGGAGCGCTGCAACGTTGCCCAGCTCGATCGATGGTGTCCAATTCGGCATGCTCTTGGCCACGGATTCTATGGCTTCGTTCCTCGATTTCTGATCGCTAAGTCTTCTACGTCTCTGACGGAGGCATATCAACAGGATCGCTGCGCAAGGGAGGAAGAGGAGCACAATGGCTAGAAATATGAAGAGGGGAATGGCAGATTTTGATTTGACAAGCATATTGGATATTGGTGTTCAGCAGTTCTGTTCGTTCTGTTGTAAAAAGGGAAAGTATCGATGTGGTTGGAAGTTGTCAGGAATTTCTATGGCATAAGTGATCTCAAGTAACGACAAGAGTTGGCGAGGCAGCGAGGCGTAAAGGCATCGGTTTCTTTGTTCCGCTTCTCTCCTTTGAGTGTTGTTCGACAGTCTTTGTCAAGAGCAAAACATGTACAAATCACCAAAGAACCGTTTGTACCATCACATGAACACAAGGGGCCGACAATGACACTCTTTGTCTGAGATTCTTTGTGTCTAGCATCTGGACAAACGAACCGCGATGGAAGGGAAATGAGTTGACAAAGTTGAACACCATCACCCGTGATACAGAGCGGTGATGCTGTCATTTTGATAGACCGGCCTGAATTATCTTGTAGTAGAAAACGAAGGAGAGCAAGAGGGACTCCGGTATTGGTCTAGCATTTGAATCAATATCTAAATGAATGTTTGGGAAACTTACCTTCTTATTAAGCATGATACCTAGTCTGTATTATTAGGGCATTCTATTAGGGGAAGCACGTATCGACCAGACGTCCTCACGGGTGTTGGGGGGTCAACGGGGAAGGGGTAAAGGGGAGACCAGATTGACTTCGGGCAGCACTCAATCAAATAGCTCATTGTCAGCCGTGATTGCGGGTTTCAACATACCAGGGAACGGCATTGAAAGAACCGGCACATTGAATCCGTTGAGAGATTTGGGGTCAGAAAGGCAAGTGGACAATCGACGCCGAGGCACTCGAGTGTTCGCCAGAAGCTCAATCTCGAATGGCGCGGCGATGTTTTCGTCCATCGGGGCCCAAAAGCGAGGATCAAAGAATGAATAGATGGTCTTGGTCGTCGCTTCGTGGATATCCATGGCTCTTCCCTTGACGTCCAAGATCGTGAACAGCACCTTGGAAGGGTCGTCGCGGCAGGCTGCTTCCGAGACTGTAGGGGTTCCGAAATGGGGAAAGGAGGGTATACTCTCAAAAAGCTCCAGCTCCATTGCACAGCCAAGTTCGGCAAACTCATGGTAGGCGAAGCATCTAGGCTCGGCCACGCCAAGGTCAATCTCACCATTGCCGACGCCTTTGATCTGGGCCCCGGTCAAGACTCGATTGATCCACACAGCATGCGCAAGTTCGTGGATCAGCGTGGAGGCGAACAGGAAGTGTTTGGCGTACTTCTCTTCGGTCGAAATTGTCTCCCAGTCCTCTCCGGCAAAATACCAGAACCACGAGCTGTTCAAGGCAGTCTGCGGGTAAGCAAAATCAAACTCAGCGTCGGGGTCATGAGTGATCAAAGTGGAAGTTCCGGCTAGCTCTCCGTGGGCGTCACAAAGGCGGCGCGCGAACTCACGTGTCAAGATGGTAAATCGATATTTGGTGGACAGAAGTCCCAGAGTGTGTCGTTCAAAGGACTCTGTTGCAGTTTGTAGGAACTGCCATTCATCCGTCAGTACCTTATCCTTGTAGCCATCTGGGAACATAAACTCTTCGACTTTGGCCAAGCCAACACGGGCGAGCTCCGGCATCAGCTGCCTCAGGAACAAGGTCGCCAATCTTAGGGCTGGCTTCATGCGGTCGTACACAAGGTCTGAGAGGTCATAGGTGTTCTTGTCCAGTTCTTCCAAGGGGAGATAGTGTGAATGATCGGCATAGCGGAAGGCTGCTTGACGGAAAAGAGGATGAATGCCAAAGAGGGTCAAGTCAGACGGAATCGGAGGCACTGACTGAGCGTCTGGCTGCACAATTTTGAGGTCGACAGGCATGTTTGCGGTGGGAGTGATGATTTAGTGATGTTGTACAGAATGTCATATTGCAAGCGACTCGAAGACTTCTTATGGGACCCGGGCAAGGCATGGTTCAATGGCCAAGGATGAGGCAGAGGCAGAGGCAGAGAAAGAAACAATGGCGGAGACAGCGAGCTCATCCACTGACAAGGCAAGGTAGAACAATGTTGAATGAAAGAGAAAATGCATGACAACAAGGGACAAGGCAGTTGACCGTTGTGAGACAATGCCGCCAGATGTCAAAGATGTCGCTATGTCGATGGACAAAGCAAGTGCATGAGGGAATGCATGAATCACAAAGTGAATGGTGAATGGATGTGAATGCGACTCAGGGGTTGAGGCTTCACACAGCATCACGTGAATGACACTAGACTCTTATTGGACTAGCTCATATCTCTCTCCTTTCTTGGGTGCGGACTTGATTGCGACTGTCTGCTGGTATCGAGTACTGCGGGCACAGGATGGAATGGTTGTTCGGAGGCCTGGAATGATTCCAGCATGGCTCTGTCGTCGTTGGGGTCATACTTGTATATGTGTCGGAGGAACGGAGGAGGAAAAAGAGGAGAACGACTCTGTTAGGTGTGAGTGGGCAAAACTAGACAGACAGACTGACTGACTGACAGACTGCGTTCTTTGGACGTTGCAATCGGTGGTAGTAATAACTGTAGTGGAAGCGGGAGTGGCAGCGTATCATCCATCATCCATCAGCCTGACTGCGTTGCGTGCGGGGAAGTCGCTGTCTTGCTTCAACCATTTTTCTCAGGTTCTTCCAGAAATCACATCACGTTTACGCTTTTGACCATCTAGGTTACTAGGTCAAGGAAGGGCAGTTATTGGTTATTTATTCTGTCAATCTTTTATTCCTCGAGCCCACTCTCCCTATATACTGCCCTCTCCTCTTCTGTTCTATCCTTGTAGTTCACACCTAGAACTCCCCCTTCCCCCGAGGCAAGACCCTGGCTATCAACAGAATGGCGTCGTCAACCCCATATCTAGACGCCCTACGGCGCGACGGATTCGTCAAGGTGCCCCAGATCCTGCCACCACACGTCCTCCTGGCCATGAAGGCATGTTGCAAATACACGACCGAGCGTGCCAGGAACGGCAAATGGCCCTACGTGCGCACTGTGCCCAAACAATACCCGCCGTGGCAACACTGGAAGCCGGGCGACAACATCTGGGGCGTGCAGCATCTACTCCACCCAGACATGAACGTCCGCGACACGTTTGCCGAGGTCTACTTCTGCGACCAGGTCCTCGACGTGGTCAAAGAGCTCGTTGGGCTCAAGAACGATCCCGCGGGGGACGATAAGCTCGTGATGGAGCTGTTCAATCTGCTGGTCAGTCCGGCCAACCAGGTAGACTTTGAGCTTTGCTGGCATCGAGACGATATTCGACCCGACGTAGATCCCGAGGAAGAAGAGCGACAGCTCAAGGAGAAAAGCCCCGACGGTCAACAGTTGCACGCGCAGTATAACATTGCGCTTTTTGAAGATGCATCTCTTATTGTGGTACCTGGTAGTCATCGACGGATAAGAACCAAGGCCGAGAGGGAGGCCGCTCCATATGAGCCAAATCTACCGGGACAACTCCTAGTTGAATTGCAGCCTGGAGATGGCGTCTTTTACGACAGCAACATCCTCCACCGAGGTTCCTACAAGGGCATCGATGTGTCCAAAGAGCTGGGTCGGATGACTCTGCACGGATCCGTGGGATTGGCTGGACACGGAACCGAGCGTGCGCGACAAGTCCTACAGCACGCAGTGGGGGACTGGGTTGACAGAGCGCACTTCCCGATGGAGGGGCCAAAGGGTGAGAGAGCGGAGGCCATGCGAAAAAGATTGGTGGAGATGGGTAGTGGGAAGGATCTCGGATATTCCCTCGTGGGATGAGGATCCAGAACTGTCGTAAGGCCTCCGTCGTCGGGCAGTACGTCTGTGGTGTTTCAAAAGAACCCTCGACTGCTTTCGTAAAGGATGTGTCTCGAAAAAGCCCCTTCACGAGGATGAGGATGCGGATGCCATCTTTCGCACCACTTGCTCCTGCATCGTAAGTTTCTCATATGAAAGGTGCGGCTCCGAATTGTCGCTCGACATGGCTGCCCTGGATAGTCTCAGGAGTTTGATGCCTCGATAGAATGATAAGAAGAATATCATGCTTCCACAAACGTCAGCAGGAAGACCCTTATTCAACGGGACACAACCCACAAGATGACACCCGTCACTGCGTTGGCCGCGTAGCTGCAATAAAGCCCGCCCAAACCCAGGCTGTTGAATTGATGGGTCAACAACTCGCCAGTCAGTGGGACATCATTCCTGATATCATCTGCGTAGATCTCGGAGAGGTGGTGCAAATGTATGTTCAAAGAAACAAGCACGCCAGTGGCCACCACCCAGCTGATCAGAGTGAAAGCTGCAAAGGCAAGATGGATCGCTTGTTCTATGGTCGAGCGTCGAAGGTCATCAGTCCACCAGTGAAGGCAAGCGGTGACCAGTGTCCAGCCAAACTAAAAAGTGATCTGTATTAGTATGGCCTTTGTATAGAAACCCCTCATCTGAGCTGGGATTTGCACTGACCGACCACCAAACGACGCCATACGCGAATTCGACGCCGAAACAGACGGCGGCAAAGGTTGCAAGTATCAGAGCAATGAAGCCTAGGACCAGCTGGAGTATCGCGAACGCTGTCAGGGCACCGGAAGATGCCGGAACTGCCATATCGAGAAAAGACGGTTTGCACGATAAAAGTGGCAGAAAGACTTGAGGCCCGCCAACATGGTATTTCTCTGGCCCTTTAAAGCTTTGCGCAACAATGCCGACGCTGAGGATGGGTGGAGTGTGGCCGCATCAGCCTGTCGTCATGGTATGGACATTGGCGGAGGAAAATCATCCGAGACTTTTTGAATGGAAGCCTTCGGAACTCGAGGCTGTGCAAAACGTGTTTGGCGTATTCGGGTGGATAACGCCAGGAGACCCGGCCTCACAGGGTTTGCTAACCCGACGAGGAGCTATACCCCGAGCATCAGGACGGCAGAAATGGCCTGATGTCTTCAATATTGTGCATTCCCGCGTCTTCCGGCGCTATGTCGGTTGATGTGGGTTGGGGTTTGAGGTGTTGACGCACCCGCCAACCACGAGCCTTGAATGATCCATTGCTGGCCCTTGTCGATGAATCTGACAGGAGTATTTGTCCCTCATTTTGAGTGGTAGCTCAGGTACAGCTGAGCCTGAGGCCTTCAAGTAGAGTCTGCGTTTATGCCAGGATCAATCGGTGGTGGCGGCTATTAGCTCCCTAGCTTGAGATCGATCTTCGAGAGCGTGGTGTGTGCGCCAGTGTCGGAATTTTCTTTGGGACGCAGTCGAGTGGAGAACGTCCGAGGCGGATTCGAGAGAGAGTTGTAACATGATACCATAATGCTGTTGCACAAAGCATGTACAAGTAATGGGAACATTTGGATCACAGAGAAGTGCATGAGTTTGCACCTGCAGGCGATGTGGTTGTCCGTACCAACTACGGTGGAGCACTATGGCCCTTACCCGCTATCACACGACTCCCGACAACTTGACGCACAGGTGCGCCATCACTCCCACAACCACCTCAGCTACTACCACATGAATGGACGATAGACCTACGCCCAGCTATAAACAAACGGACCTCGACACAAACTGTCCATACCACAAGCTGAGGGCACTGCAATCACCTCCAGTGTCCTCAAAATGGCTGCGGACTTGTCTGCAACCAAACTGAACCCAGAGAGCCATATCTTACTGGTACTGCACCCCGCTATCCAGGCATCTCCCGGACGTACAAAGTGCAGTGCAACTGACAGTCTGTGCGCAGGACCAACCTCTCCTCCGCCTCCCACATGAACTCGTCAAACGCAATTTCAGAAACACCCAGCGTTATGTAGAGCGCGAGAGAGACTACATCCTTCCCGCTCTCAAGGACACCGCAAATGCTGCTCTCAGCTCGTCACAGACCACAGAGGAGACACTCGCTTCACTTGATGCCATGATACAGAGAATGCAGAACTTCAAACGCAAGCTGGAAAAATTGCATATTGAGGAAGAGGCTCTTCATGACCACTCGGCCAAGCGGATCAAGCATCTACTTGACCTCTATGACATTCCCTCTTTGGTGGACGTCAAGTACGACGAGTGGTCTCGAACTCGTCTCGACCGTTTAATTGTCGACTACCTCCTGCGCTCCGGCTACTCCAAGACAGCCAAGTCGCTTGCCGAAACCAAGCAGATCTCTCACCTGATTGACCTCGATACTTTTGTTACCTGCCACAAGATTGCCTCATCACTCACCCGTGGCGAAACTAGGGAGGCCCTTGCTTGGATCAACGAGAACAAAAACTCGCTCAAGAAACTCATTACGGCGCCTCACAAAACCACCGATCTCGAGTTTGAGCTACGTTTCCAACAATATATCGAACTGGTCCGTGCTGGTACAACTGCGAAGAGACTAGAAGCAAGAGCCCATGCCCAACAACACCTGACGCCACACATGGCATCCCGAGCAGAGTCAATCATGCAAGCAGCTGGTCTATTGGTGAACTCACCCGACACAAGCGTCGAACCGTATCGTACTCTATTTGCTCCGTCACGATGGCACCACTTATCCAGCCTATTCGTCGAGACCCACCATACCTTGCTGTCTCTGCCAATTCAACCCCTCCTCCACGTCGCGCTGTCGGCGGGTCTCTCAGCATTGAAGACTCCTGCGTGCCACAGTGCCTACAACCCCGCGAGTTCTTCAACACCTGGTCACGCTCGTATCGCGACGAATTCCTCTCTGTGTCCAATCTGTAGCATGGAGTTGAACGAGCTGGCACGCAATGTGCCCTATGCACATCACACTGTCAGTTCTGTGGAACCCGACCCAGTCGTCCTACCGAATGGGCGTATCTACGGCCGTGCGCGATTAGAGGAGTTGCAGCGGAAGCTGGTCATGGCTGGCGGTGGCGGATCAGGAGGTCAAAGCGGCACACACGAGGTACAAATTGGCAAGGAAGGGGAAGTGAGAGATCCCACGACTGGCCAAAGTTTTACTTGGGACGAGGTCAAGAAGGTTTATATTATGTGATGGTACAGGAGGTCAGGAGAAATTGGTCGTGCGTGGCTCCTTCAGCTCGACACAATGCTTCGATAGACGCCAAAGATCTCGACCCGTGCAACCACTCTATTGGGGTCAGACTTGCTATCCCACGCTCAAGGCCGCAAAGAGATGGCTCGAGAATAGCATCTGCCAGACTCCACCCCAAGCTCTCGGATGTCATGACAAGGGAGAGCCAGGCAGCTTTCAAGTGACACCACAGAGAAAGAGTTGGGGAGGAGACAGAGATCAAGGCGAGGGGTGGACGAGAGGACGGGAACTACAAATGTAATACAATATACGAGCTACAGTTGCTCACTCGTCTCTTGATCGAAGCCTACTGAATGGGGACCCTTGTTCTTATGGCCCGTGGCCCAGAGACGATGCAGCTCTGACACATGGGGATTGAGATATGATGATGAGATTGATGAGATAAATGATGATGATGATGACAACGATCAAGGAATGACGACGAACGACTGATCAATTTGAAACGGAAACGAAAAGCAATAGCCATTAAATGCCATGTAATGCCATGCAGTGTAATGCAATACGGTACTCGGTATAGTGCATTGCATTGTAGTGCATACTAGGTACTCGGTACGTGTAGATATAGTCCGTCTGCTCTATAGTCTCTGCTCTCCTCTCCTTGCCTCTTCTCTTCACATCTTCTCTCCTCTATAGAAGTCTCCTTCTTCCATGCTAGACACCTCAAGCTGATCCTCTACATGTACTCCTCGACTCCTCGACTCGGGGCCAGTTCGTCCTAAGCATGACGCACCCCCAGGGGACATAGTCGTGGAGCATAGGAAATTATTCGTGATATTGGACTCATTTTCACATGGCAATTCATTATTCTCACTCGACAAGACCAGGGACAAGGACCAAGGACCAAGGACCTGCCATGCCTCCACCACGCATTGGCCGTCACCGTTAGCATCACCGTCACTACTACTACCACCATCACCACCACCATCTACCAGCACTGAGGAAACAAGCGCAACAAGGGGAAAAAGAAGCCCCCCGAAGAAACAAACAAAGATTATCGACAAGATCGCGTGCCTTTGTGCCCCCGAAGCCCACACCCATGCCCACGCCGAGCTGGCCAGGCCTTGAACCAGGAGATCCTCCCCAAATCAGACTCAGACTCAGTACTTGTGCTCTCCGCCACATCAAAGTCGTCACCGTGCATTGCTATGCCATTCACCCCGACAAGAGATTTGCAGACATAGGAAAGAAAAAAAGAGTGACGGACAGAAACGCCTAAGACTTCCAGATAACAAGGACCTTTTGACTTTTTTTTTCGGTTATTGGAGGAAAGGTTCAAGCGAGGATGCCCCAAAGCTGTTGCCGGTACGCCGTTACTGTTGCTTGATGCCGTTGAACTACGCCCGGTCCCCGTCGCTCACGCAGACCCTCAACGCCCTCTATGACGCCGTGGCTGCCGCAGCTTGTCTCGTCGGGGTCGTTGCGGTCACTGCTGATGCCGCCGCTGGGGTAGCGGGACCTGGAGTATTGGACTGGTCTCGTCTCCGAACCGAGCCTCGAAGGCTCATACTTAAGCCGAGATTCCTGTGCCCGTGACTTAATGACGAAGCGTGGCGGTGACTGTGACTCAGGGTTGACACGTCGTGTTTGCCTGCAAAGCACATGTCAGCAATTGAGTCGGAAAAGTGACACGCGAGAAAGTAGTAACTTACCATCACAACAGGCCCTCACATTCTCTAGCCCTCCATTCCACGCGGCCTCCTCCTGCCTCAGCATCTCCCTCCTCAACTCCTCAGCAGAATCTTTCCGCCCATCACTAACCACACTGGCGTCGTAGATACTACCCCCTTCACTCCTTGTGCCGCTAGCTCGTGTAGGAGTGCTGACTGTGGCCTCGCTTGCTTTGGGTGTTCGTCCAGTCACTGACCCCAGCATACGCGAAAAGCGACTCGCGCTGCTAGCGCGAACGGTGCGGTCGTTGTCATGTTCTCGAGTCTGTTCGGCCCGACTCTGCCGCACTGTCGAGTTTGGAGCAGTGCGGCTCATCATGGAGTCTTGAGGGACGCGGGTGGTGCTACTGGCTACCACGGCGCCGGGCGCGAGTTGTTGGCGCTGGACGGCCGAAGTTCGGTGCGAGCCTCGTGTTGTGCGGGAGTTGTAGCTCGAGAGGCTCATTCGGCTGTGGTTCGGTATCAAGGCAGCGCCGTAACCAGCACCATGCACATTGAACTCTTCCAGGTCGTCTCGGGTAATGTCATTTCCCCCGACAGCAAACTGGTTGTTTTCTTCACCGCGGAGGAGTAAATAGTTGAGGGCATTGAACCAAGTCTCGTGCCTTTGGCCGGTGCTGGCGGTAAATCTCACACGTCGGCCAGGGGTAATGATCTCAAGGCTTTTCCGATGAAGACCAGGCGGCATGGGGTTGTCATCAGGGACGACTTGGACGCTTTCTATCAGCACGCTCTTCGCCTTCAGCTCAGTCCTGCCGGCTGTTTGCGGGTCCTGGTCCGACCAGTAAAGAGTCTTGGTGTAAGGATGCACCCAGAAATACCGACGGTGACGGGTCTCGGACATTTCAGATCGTCCAGCCTTCCGTGTGTATTTCCACAGGAATTCACCAATCATGGTC